GCTTTTAATGATGGATATCTGCTATTACTAATCTTTTACTAGTCTTCAGAGTAACAATAACATTAGAAGCAATCTGACAAATAGTTTTCATTAATTAAAGTTTTTTTTTGCGTACGATTTTGAAACGGATATTTCTTAAAGTAATAGCACATTAAAATTTCTTCCCTTGAGTAATATACCACCAAAAACTTGTATTAGTAAAGGCTCATGGGTATGCATATTTAATGAGGGAACTATCCTCTGTTATACGCCTGGTAACAGGTGCATGGTGAGTCAAGGGAAGACTGCAACAGATGGTAGGTGTGAAACACAAGAGCAGTGGCTGGTGATGTTTTGACATTGCTTTTCCCATCTCTGATTACGTGTAACTGAAGATGACACAACCTGGTAACAGGCTTTCAAAGGTTCAGTGTCTTAGAGAGTAGAAGAACCTTTTAGGAAAAGAGCACCGTATGTGATATATAATAAGTAAAAAAATGCTACTGAAACACATTCCTGCATCTTCTACTAACAGAATGTATGTTTTTAGTAAAGGTTTTAATGCACTGCTTCCCATGTGTAAGGCAAGGCAAGTTTATTTATGTGGCTCATTTTAATGGCAGGACAATTCAAAGTGCTGTACATGAGAAAAAAAAACAATAAGAAAACATGCCTGTGTAAATTCTCAGTCATCCAGATCACGGCAGCCACAAAAGAGGATTAAATTGGAATACAACAGGCCTTTTGCTTATTTTTTTTCTTAAGATGTTTCAACACCTATCTAGGAGTCTTTAGCTGTGTCTGAACATCCGCCTTAATCACTATATAGGGCATTATAGAGTGGTTACACCATTAAATTAGTTTCCGAACATCTAATGGATGAAAATGTAGTGGACTTGTAATTTCCCACAATGCACCTTTAAACGTAGTTATCATCCATGGTCACTAGATCAGCAGATATATCCCAAAATGCTTTGTGAGAGCTCGCCTCGCAAAGCATTATGAGATTTGTTTTCACAGTGACCCACCTTCAGGTAGTTACAGCTGCTACAATTAAAGGTAGTGCAGGCAACATGTGGGAGGCACAGTCATGTGACCAACAGGGAGCGAAAAGTAGTGATCATCTGTCCAAGCATTAAGTTAACTGAGATAACTTTCACTAAGTCCACTATATAGTCCCCGCTCTATATAGTGATTGAGGGATTCAGGGGTTAGGGCGGACATTTGATCACAGCCTTTGTCAATTCTGTTGGCTCGCATCAGATCCAAGGATAAAAACAGTACATTGCAGTGGCATAGAGGAAAAACAAATAAAAAGAATAAAGGTGGATAATTGAAATAAGATGATTAATTAGAAAAGATACAATTACTGATTAAAAAAGGGAAGTTGGAATAAAAATTTAACTGATAATATGTAGCTAGCACAGTTGAAGGCCACTTTAGGCAAATTCTTTTTAAGTCTTGATTTATAGCTACTGAGGGTTTCAGCCCCTTTATTTTTCTGGATGTTTATTCCAGATTAGTGGTGTACACCTGAGAGGTCTGTGTGGTTGATAAATTTACAACAAATCTGTTATGTGTTTTAGAGCTAAACTATTTAGTGATTAATAGACAAACAGAAATGTTTTACATTATATTCTCTGAGAGACAGGGAGCCATGGTAACGATTATAGATCAAGTGTGATGTGGTCCACTTTTGGTGAGGATGCAGGCAGCAACATTTTGGATCAACTGCAGCTGTCTGGTTGACTTTTTAGGCAGACTTGCTAAGACACAGGAGAGGTAAGGTTCTATAAGAGCCGCCTTTTTTACTATCTTTATATACTTTCAGAAGTTCAGCGCTGAGTCTATCCATACACCTCAAGAATAGAGCAGGTTATTAAAACTAAGAGAGAGGGAGAGAAGTATTAATTGGATGTTCATAACTCATTGTGAAGTGTTGCCTACCTGCCGGAGATAGGCAACCCACCGCAACCCTAACAGAATAAGCGGGAGTGGATGGATGGATGGATGGATGGATGGATGGATGGATGGATGGATGGATGGATGGATGGATGAATGGATGGAGTATTCGGTTATCTTTAAAATGGAAATATTGGTAGTATAGTCTTCCTGTTTTTGTTTTGTTTTGTTTTTCTCAGAATAATGGTACTCATTTTAAAATTCATTACAAAGTATTACAAATTTCATTACAAAGTATATTTTGTCCTTGTTAAATATAATAAATTATTTTTCATTCCTTATTTTATAGCCAATAGAGGCCTGTAAAATAAATGTCAAGTTTCAAAAAGATTTTACATCTTAAAAAGTAACTGCAAAGTTAAGTAAGTGGTTACCTAACTACTTGGTTATTATGATAGTTACATCTGGAAGAAGTCATGTTAACTAAAGCAAGAGGGGAAGCTGCAGATTACTGCTGATCTTGATACCCAGTATCAATGAGGGGCAATATCTGCCCATTATATTATTCTGCTGATAACTTTCATTTAGGAACAAATGCTCCTACTGGCATTTTGATGTGGCAAACTTGACTTATAACATCATGCTTTTATCACCTAAGCAAAAAAAATAAAAAATTGCAGGCCTAATGGAGTAGTATTCAGTCAAATGAACAAATCAGAAACATGCTACCAGCAATGCTACTTTTAACAGATTGAAAACAGTTATGAAAATACACAGAAAGTCCGATATATATCGCAACACTGCCTATATCAAATTATGTCAAGTAAAAAGGAGAAATTTAAAGTAAAATGCAGGTTGCATTCAAAGGTTTATAAACTCAAACTGGCAAATTGAGCATGCCTAATTGATTTGTGCATGTGCAAACTCTGTTTTGCAGTGTCAAAGAGTGGTTTAGATTGCTAATAACCTCCTCCTGGCTCTGATTGTGTTTTTGTGACATGGAGTCATACTGCAGAACAGGAAAGAAGCTAAGGAGCCTGATCTTTGTCCTCACAGATTATCTGCCTCATGTTAGTACAAAGCAAAAGATTGAACACCTAAAGCATTATTTTTATAGATGAAAAATGCAGCTGAAGGGGGTGTTTGCTATGAGAGTCTGGGCCAAGCACGGTCCAACAGCAAGAACAGTAGGTAGAACCCAAGGTCTTCCACTGCTGGTCATCTAGCTGATGAATTAAGTGATTTTTAGTGTTATTTTTTCTTTAAGTAGCGTGCTCTTCTAGAGGAGCGTAGGCAATTGTGTGCCACTTTACCTGCTGTATGATCCTTTTTTTTCTTCAGTGAGCCATAAAAACCTATTATATACTCAGTCAAATTGTTTGTTTTAAATATCACATTAAATTCATTGTATTAATGCATTTGATACCTCACTTCCGAGGTATTTTTCTGTTGCAAGATGCAAAGTTCACAGTACTCTCAAAGCACAAAAGTTCAACATGAGAGTGCTTAGGAGTCGCTGCAATGTGCTTGAACAGTGTGAAGAATTTGGGGAGATAAGTTGCAGGCCTTTGCAGGGCGGGAAATAAGAGATTCGGGTGATTGTTTCTTCTGATTACAGCTTGTTTTAAGTAGTATGCTCAACATTGGTATTCATCAATGCAGAAAGGGTGTCTGAATGAAGTATGTACTATATAAACTATATAAAAAAAAACAACTATACAAAAACAAATTCAAGGGCAATAAAATGCTTTAAACCTTCTTCAAATCCTTTTAAACAGGTTATTTTATACTTGGCTTTCCATTGCTCTAGAGGTTCCATCGGTCTGTGATGAGCACAACAGAAGGTGCATGTGACAGTTCAGCAACAAGATTTTTTTTTTTCCTGTTAATACAGATGAGGCACTTTTTTTTTCCACTTAAGTGGGTGCGTGACGCAATAACATACCATGACTCAAGCACATTAAGCATATGTATAAAGCCCTTCTTTTGGGCAATGGAGTATGTTTTCATGTATGCAGCTATAAAAACTTCGATAGAGTTTCTTATAGCTTTAGCCCAGTCTGATTCTGATAAGTGGTTTTTGAGCAGCACTCATCTTGGATCCTGTCGTGGGCACTGATACTCCTGGATGATGTCGCTTCAAATAGGTTGCCATGCTTTTCGTGCCACAATGCCTACATCTTTGTTAATGTTTTGCCCACCACCCTTTCTCCAACACCATTTCATAGGGAAACCAAAATGCTCCCATCCATGCGACTTAAAGGATGCAGGTGCTTTTCACTGTATCTCAAACATCTAGTCCCTGATTGCAGTTCACAACAGCAATGTACTGTAAACAAAAGTTGAGATTTTCGACTCCTGCTAATTTTTCTTCACTTAATTTGCAGGAGAGGGGGGCCATCAAATTTAGCAGAATTTGCCTATATGCACCATTTGCCTTCCTAAATTTGCCATTTTTACCTCACTCAGCTTTGCTTTGCTCCAGAGCAACGCTTCCACGTGGAGATTACATGGAAATCCTTTGTTCCATTCTGTTATTGTTGTTAAATAGCTTTTTATTTGTAACCCTGTGAGACTAGTTTAGGGGAATTACATTTTTCATCGTCTATGACACGTGTGATGTACCATGAGTAATGTAAAAACAAGTCGGCATAGCAAAAACGAAGAAATGGTCAAACAATCATTAGCTATGGCAAGAAATAAAGAAATTAATAACAACAAAAGTTATATTATAGGCTTTATTGACATTCTAGCATAGTGCAATGTAGCATCCCTTATCCAATATACAATGCTTATAAAAAAAAACAGGGGCATTTCCAAAAGGGAACCACATCATTCATAGAACTGACAATACTATTGAGGTAAGAAACATTGTGGCAGTAGCTCAACTACTACATCCCTAAAGGCTTGTTTGAGATTTTCACCCTAAAATTTCTATCCCTGTTTAACATTTTCTCCTCATATAACATGTCTTCTCTTTTCCTTAATAGCTCTGAATTCTTGCAAGTACTTTTTTCCCAACTTTAGAGCTTCTTCCTAAATGTTTGATATCTGTTTAATGTTTTTTTTTTCTTCCTGCTCTCCTTCCTTTTGGCTAAATTATGCTCTGACTCCTTCAGACTGGCAATATGAGGGTAAGAGGGCAAGCTTATGTTGTATTTTTTCCCCCTTTGTTTTATTAACTTCAGTATATTTTTTTGTTGTTTCACTCCCTGCTGAAATACATTTTATCCCAAGCATTCCTTACATCAGCAGAGTTGCCTTGCAGTGCCTGTAGAATGACAGTTCCTTTATCCTGTCTCATGCACCCAACATCCTTCATTGTCCCATATGGTGCTGTTAGTCAAGCTGCAAAATTACCTGTGTGCCATGTGCTCACATCATCTAGCTGTTGTGACCTTCACATGTGACGCCTTTCTTCCCTTTGCTCTTTTCACAATGTTGTCTTTTGCTTTTCATCATCTACTGTCACAATTGTACCATTAGTGTCTCTTGATGATAATGCTGTTGCAGCAATTACCAGTTCTATTGCTATTGCTCGAAAACGGTTCATCTGCCAGACAGGGAGATGCTCTAACTACTCATCTAGCTGTGCAATGTGAATGATGTTCGCCTTATAGAAATGTTGGCAGTTAAAAAAGACTTCTACAAAACTTCAAACTGTTTTAATAATATCACTTTAATTGGACTGGTTGAAAAAGTAATAATGTTTATATATAAATGAGCAAACTAATATTTATTTAATCTCTTCCTTAATACCCAAATTACAATTCAGTGCAGTTTTACTTACTATAATAGTAGTGGTTTACTCATAATTTCTTAAGTAATAAAGGGCCCATATTAGTAAGAGTTATAAAAGCTTCTTATCTAGTGATATAGAGAACTATATTTATAAACATCTATTAAATTGTTTTCACTGTCCGTCAGTAACATGTAATAATCAACAGAAAATGATTCCAGGTTTTAAAATAGTCAAATTATTGTACCCCAATATCTCGGGGTGATTTTCTCTACATGTGTTAGAAATATCTCTATCTTTGTACAAGATATGTTGATTACCATTAGCAGAATTTTCAGGAAAATAAAAAAACTAAACATATATTAAAAGTAAACAATTGAAAAAAATCGGCTTAGGAGATTAGGGGATGTTTGTCATATTCCAAGCCTAAAAGACAAATACCAGGTCACAGGCAACTTCTAGTATCAATTGAATAAAATTCATGCCATTAATATAATTGAATACCAAGTAACCTTACAGTCCAGTAAAAGTAAAAAGAAAAAATAAGACAATACAATTCGAGAGTACTTCATTTAACATTGCTGTTGTTCAGGATAGGTTTCCATTCCAATAGATTTTGTATTTGGACTGGAGTATTTTTGAGACAGCCGTTATCAGAATCAAGTTTATTGCCAAGGAGGTTTGCAGTGCCAAGGAATTTGACTTGGTGTTGATGGTGCAGACAATATATATATATATATATATATATATATATACAGAATATAGAATCTATAGTTATGTACACTATATAACATACAGTATATAGTACATAGCAATATACTATATACACAGTAGACAATGCATTAAAGTAACGCAGAAGGTCTGTAGATGCTACAGTACGTTGGTGTAGCCTTTAGGTCATTAACGGGGGAAGGAGAGAGGTAGGATATGTGCCATCTCCAAAAGGGTTTGTGAGGTCTAAAAAGCTACTTTAGTGTTCTGACAACATGTCAAATAAAGTGCTCAGAGCTTTATACTTTGATTTTAAAGATACTGTATCCCTTTTTCACTTGACACATGCCTTGTTTATAGTGCTTACAGCCAGAACTTTGTTTTGATACTTATCTTTAATAATCTGGTTCATAGAATACATATTGGGAGGACCTGCAGTCAAAAATATATAAGCAAGTTCTTTTTTTATATTATGAATATTTAATTGTTTTTATGCTGCAGTTATCAGAGCTTCTACCTTTTGAGTAAATTAGCCACCAGTATATAATAAAGTAGGCAGAGCAGGTCAGAGAACACAGATAAGGAGTCCCTGCAGCCTCTTCATTGCTTTCTCTGTTAATAGCTTTGTTAGAGTTGAAAAGGATGAGGTTCTTTGCAGAAAATTAAGGTGTGATCAACAAAACAGCGCACATGAAAAAAAAGTAAAGGTATGCAAGCTGTTCACAATAGGGTCATGAGTCTTGAAACATGGATGCAAAGCATTGGGACATTTTTTACAATGAATCACAGTATACTTTCTGCTCAATATACTACTGAGGTTTTTAAACTGTAGGTAATTATTACAGCTCTTATCGTCAAAAAGGTGGTGGATGTGGTTTTGGACCCAAACGCTAAGTAGAAGGAGGTAGAGATGAGTCTTTGCTGATATAATGAAGATGCAAAAGCAACAGAAGAAAAATACAGAAAACCAAAAACCAGGAGACATCAGGGGAAACCAAACATGACGAGCAAAGTAACGAGAAGAAACCAGCACTTAGGAACTAGACAGGATGTGTTTATATGGGAGACACAACAAAAACTAATCAGCTAAGAGGGAGCAGGTGTGGATCGAAGCAACTAGAAACGAGGTGAAAGGAGACTGGCACATGGGGGCAACAGAGAGCAACACAAAAACACAACACTGATTAAAAATAACTAGAAAACCACTACAATGAAACAAAATGGAAAAGAAACCAATGACCAGGAAAACAGAATGACTTAAAAAACTAAAAACTCAAAAGAAGTCCAAAGGGGAGAACCACTTATTGTATTTGATGACTTGCTTTGTAAGACAAATGTTGATTTTGAAAATCCTTTTTAAAATGTTAAACAAAAAATAATGGTTTTTGAGCAATTTTCTTTATAAATAGACCCTAAATATATTTATGATAAAGTATCATAATTTTAAATATACAAATATATGCACATAATGTACTCTCTATATACTGTATATCATACTATCATGTGCATACAACACCTTCACAATCACATGCCCCGTAGTAATACTTTGAAAACGTTTTTAGAATAAATGCTTAATTAACAGCTTGGTGATCACAAGGTGTTACTGTTTGATACACCCTTTCCCATATTATCCCCCATACTGTGTGCTGTTGCAAGATAAATTTTGGTAATCTCCTAGCCTTGTTTGTCACAGTGCAGTTGTTTTCAACATTTTATTTGCTGTTCTGAGTGGTGGAATGAAATGTTTTGGCAAGCAGCTATTTTATTGAATACATTTTCTGTCTTATGGATCTAAAAAAATGAACAGTATTTTTTCAACATATTTCCTTTACAATTTTTAAAAGCACCTTTGTGAAATGAGAACCTGTGTCTGTTTTGGCCCCTGTAAAGAAGTTTAATTGATTAATCAAATTACAAAACAGTGATGAACTTAAAAATATGTATAAATAAAATACTTTAGCTACTTAATTAGTTTTAATTTTTTATTTTTAAAGCAAAAATAACAATATCATCAATTTGCCATTGAAAGCTTTGCAATGAAAAATATTTTAAGGCATCTTACACATTTTCAGGGTTTCAAATAAATGTGCAGGGTGCTGCTATCAAGCAACATATTTCAATGTATGTTTTACTAGAATATTTTATATATAAATTGAGCTTTTTTGTGTCTTCTAACTTTTTTCCCCCCACTTTTTATATTTAGAGTGTAAATTGTCGCGACCTGGACCCCCCGCAACCATAGTGACCATTGATGAGGAGAGCCCCAATGGTATGTTGCTACCTTCTCAGAATTCAAACTTATTTCTGCCTCTTATTCACAGTTTATGGATTTATAGTAGACATTTCTGCACTCACTTATGGTGAGCACTTTTGAAATTGTTTTCCTAAAATGATTTATATTATTTTTGATTCTGTTATTACCAGTGATTCTACAGCATGAAGGATTTTACTGCCTTATAGGTGATTACTCTTGTTTCAGCCTGGGTAAAAGATGCTTATTTGGATACACTTGTTTGATGCTAAAAAAAAAGAGTTCTGATTGTGTTATATTCACTTACAAGGGGAAATAATTACATATTTGCATCAGGGGACATACAGGTGGTGTTTGGATCTTTGAAATATTTCAACAATCCGGTAATGATTTGCCTGCTCCCTCTGCAGATTATACTTACTGTGGTTTACCTGAGCTACCTTAGTACAGGAAGCAGCGCCACATACTTAAGACATACAGCACTTGAGTGGGTTCAAGCTCTGCCTTTCTTTTTTTTTTTTTCCTTCATTTTTATTTCAAGGCTTTCCATCACCTGCACCTATTTTTCGGATGTATTGCTTTTCTTTGCCTCATGTTTTTGGCTCTTATTTTTCCTTCACCCTTTTCTCTTTTGATGTTGTAGTTGAAGTATTTGACATCATAATTTCAGAGACAAGTAGGTGTGCATAGCATGGATGGGATAGAGAATTAGGTATTCTGCTCAAGGAGGACATACTTATATGTGACAGACTGTGGCAAACTAAGGAACAAGTCTAGCCAGGGCCATTTTGAATGCTTTACTGATCCTGAAAGGCTTATGAAAGGGAATGTTGTCATTCTACATAAAGCATTAATGAGTAAAATAGCTTTGAACATTCTTTAGAATCACCATAGAAGTCTGTTTGGTCCTAACAAAAGCTGTTAATTTGAATACTTTTGCATAACTTGCTCCAGTATTTCCCTTAGCAGTGCTTCTCAGCAGAAAAATGCACAATTTTTTCTATGTAAAGATGTTTTACAGTAATACATATAATATTTCTGCTACATTTTTCCGGTGCATAGACCAACATCGTTTAGAGGTGTTAAAAAATTACAACACCATTTTTGATAGTTACTCAACAATAATTAAGCTAAAAATTAAAAAACTTGACATTTATCAAACTGTTACATGTCAAATGTTTATGTTTTTTATATCTGTATTTGGTGTCTACAAGTTCCATATTGACTGGACTTAGAGGAAGAGCAATATTTATTAAAAATTATTGATAATTATTAATCTATAAGAGACTTGAAATGCAGTCAGTTCAATTCAGTTTATGTTTATAGCGCCAATTCACAACACCTCCTCTCAAGGCACTTTCTAGAGATAAATCAACCAGATCATACAGTCTTCTGTCTAAGGAAACCAGTTGATTGCATCGCCACATTGACTCAAAGGCAATCCCTGATAGCAAGCATGCTTGTAGCAACAGTGGAGAGGAAAAACTCCCTTTTAACAGAAAGAAACCTCCAGCAGAACCAGGCTCAGTGTGAGCGGCCATCTGCCGAGGCCGACAGAGGATCATGGAGACAGAAGCAGACATACGGAAAGAAGCAGACATACAAAAAGGCAACTGTCAACCATCTTCACAGGCGTCTCGGAAACACACAGCCAGGCAGACACATTCAGCCAGTCACAGTCAGAGTAACAGGACTACACTGGAAAACAGGCCGAGCTCGAATATTTTTAAACAAAGGTGTCGATGGCAGCAGCAAAACAGCACAGCCGCTTCTTCTATACCCATCAATTGTAATATTTACAGGGCTTTATTCTAAAAGCTTCATTGTAACAGCTTTATTTTAATGTTACTTTTAAGATTAGTTCTAGTTCTGTGGTACACTCCACAATGTTGCATAAGTAGCACTGTCCTTGACTTTATGTTTTAGCAGAAAATATGTCACAGATGTTTTTGCAGGGTCCCCTTTTGTGCTAATTCTTGTATGTAGATTGCAACCTTTGTTTTCTTGTGTAGTGGAGGACTGCTCAGAGCTCTACTGTTATCATTCAACTCTGCTCCAGTTTGTTTTAGTCCTTTTAGTACCAGGAACACATCACCACCACTAATATCATCCGAAAAATGTAGTCACATCAATGTACAGAGACTTCATGTCAAGGCAATTCTTTCTTTTACCAGCATTTTTATCTCAAGATCGGTTTAAAGCTGTAAATTGTGGAGAGGGTGGTCGGGCAGGCATGCGGATGTCCGGGTATCCAGTGCACACACGAAAAAAACCCATTTACTCTAAAAGGGTAAAGTTTAGAAGTGATTATACTACGTACTGTTGCCAACAGGTCCAATTGAAACCATTTGAAATAACCATTCTACCTATAGCCTCTCTTTCTCTCCAAACTGCTCAGGTTCAGGTTCCCTCTGGAGAGTGCCCATGAGCGCAAATAAAACTGCATTTTTATCACATCCTATCTTTATTAGTAGGTAGCCATGTGCTAGCTTCAAATGGCACATTTTATTTGTTGACACACACTTCAAAAGCCTGCTTTTTTCCAAACAAAGCAGCCATATAAAAGAACTGCAGGTTTGCCTCCTCCAGATATGGAGACGTGGTTATGTGACATCTCATGTCAAAAACAAAAAGTGGGGTTTAAACAAAAAACTTTTGAAACAGTATTTTTACAATAAAATAAAAATCACTCTTAGAATTTTATTATGCCAATTTGATTCTGCCAACTTGTTTTTAATTTTCTCATGGTGTGTCACTCATGTTCCATTTAGAAAAATGATTGTCACTTAAATAGAGTAGTTGTTTGTTATTTTTCCACCCATTTCTCCTTGCAGATATTTGTAGAGAAGATTATCTGAGCTCAATGATAACTCAGTGCAGACGGCACCAAGATATTATTTATAAAGTCAATAAAGTATTTCACAAAGCTTTAGTGTACCTGCTCTACTGTTTTTTTTTTTTTGTAAGTTAGTTTTTTTTTTTTTTTGTGTACAGTATGTCACTGTCTCTTTCGAAACACAATTTGGAACATCCTTTCCTAGGGTTTAAAAGGAATAGTTTTCATCGGGTAAGACCAACCTTTGGTTATTGAAATAGCTCACTAGGGAGTCTGTTGGTCATTCTCTGCTTATCCTTTCCCTCTATGACTGCTGCTGTTATTTTATGTTTTGATCGATTACTAAAGGAATTCATGGGAATGAGGTAGCCATGCCTCTATCCGAAAGCCTCTCACCCTACATGTCCCCTTGCTTTCTAAGGGGGATTTGCACTAATCTTTTTCATAAAGCTCTCATTTACCTGGGATATGGGTCTTCTCTGACTCTGCCATTGTTTGTTTATCTCTCTGTGATGAAATGGGCCATAGCTCACCCTCTTGGTAATGGAATGTAAAAGAGGCAACTGGCCATTATCGACCGATGCAATTTTTCTGTTAAATGTGTTTTGGCTTTTTTTGTTCTGTCACACATAGGCTGTGCAAATTACACATAAGTACCCATCCTACATTTATGTCTAGGAGTTAAAAAGCTCATAAAATAGCCAACTGTCTGTCTGACTTTTGCTTCCAAAACACAACAGAAAGATGTTTAGTTAATTACATGCCGGTGCACCTCTATAATTCTAATACAAAGGAAAATATATTTTATTTAACCAATGTTGTTAAAAACATGAAATTAGATCCTGACTGTATTATCTAAGACAAGTTTGCCAGTAGAGTCTGAGGCTAATTGCATGTTGAGGATGGTGTAACTTTATTAACTGCCATTAATAGAGAAACAACAGCAGAGGAATAATCTATAGCCTAGCAAACTCCCAGCTATTCAAAAATAATCAATAACACAGAAAAATTTATTTCGGATACAAGCATAAACAAGTTGGAATAAATAACTTAATATTCGGAATTTAGGCACAATTTGTTTTAAGCAGCAACAGCATAGAACACAGAAGCATAAGATGTGATTGTGCGTTCAGTTGTTTATGATCTGCTTTTTGGCTTTCATCCAAAACACATTCTACAATGTTTACATAGATAGGAAGTGTTAAGTACTTCATGTTTCATTTTAACGGCATTCAAATGTTTTCTGTTTAGTCCAATATCGGATGGCCTAAATAAGCAGAAGGAAGCCATTAAGAATGACAAAACAAAAGCAAAAAATAAACAGAAATATAATGCATATACTAATAAATACAGGCTTCTGTCAACCCTTGGATAAAACTTTTGTTTTTTTACAAAATAAAATTATATTAGCTAACAGCGTTGAGCCAATCTTTGTAATTAAGCAAAACTCTACAATCTAAGCTCAGTGACAACATTTGCCAGGGGTCAGTAACCTTTCCTACTGTATATTGTGTTTTTTCCCTTAATTCCACTAAATATTTGTGAGCTCCGGAGCTCACGGCTCTGTTCTGCTTCACTGTAGTTGACCAAAATTTCTGACGATTTTGAAATTCCCCCCAGACCGAACCTGACCTGCTGATGGTATGCTTCCCCCCACCTGCCAGGAAAGGAAGACGGGGGGGAAGCATACCGTCAACATGCAGCAGTACCGGACCATTCTGGGTTATTTTCTCCCACGTCGCTGCTGCCACGCTCTATCTGTGGTCATGCACCGCTGCATGCCAGGTAGGCTGCGTGACCTAACAGGATGCAGCAGCACCGCTGATTCTGCTTAGCAGATTACAGCACAATGATGCATTTTTAATGTCTGTCAGACAGCCCGCTAATTTTGATTTAGTCTCGTCTTGTCTTGATGAAAACTCAAACCTATGACTTGTCATGTTTTAGTCATCAAAGATCCATGTTTAGCCCGTCAGTTATCCATATCGTCATGAAAAATAGGAGCGTCAATGAAATAATGTCATCATCGTTGACGAAAACAACACTGGGTGCCATTTGGTAATTTACTCAAGCAGCTCAAAGAATTTCAATTAATATTCCTCCTTTTTATTAAACCTTTACAAAAAGATGGATGGATGGATGGATGGATGGATGGATGGATGGATGGATGGATGGATGGATG